ACTCAACTCTTGTCATTGTGTCATCCCACATCTGATGATTTGTGCTGTGCAGACCTACACCTGAGGCAGCCTGTCCTGATGTCTGCAGTGCACAGACCTGGCTTAGCAGTCACAGCCTCACTAGTATCTATCACCTCCTTTCCCAGCAGGACGCTGAGCACCACTTGTATCCTAGCCAGGGTACACACATTACACAACAAAGTATTCCTAGGCGTCTCCCCTCCCACCTTTCAGAAATGCTGAAGAGTTTGAACTGGAGGTGTTGCTGCTCTCTCAAGTATAGTGTACCTCTGCCCCTCTTCCTTTTCTGAGAGCTGAACTCGTGTGCACATTTAGGAGGGGATTCAGAAGGCTGTACAATGCAGAATGAGGCTATATTTGTCCTGGGTACTGCCTTTCCTATGAAACCCACAAGCCCAGCTGAAGTACATTCCTAAACAAGATGGCAATATTAATCTGTCTGATGCTCCCCTGCCTGTGTGAGTCTCCAAAGGGCTTGCCAGCACTGGTTTAGGAATGCTCACTCTAGACTTTGCCTCTCAGAGAAAACAGGGTCTGAAAGTGCCCAAGAAACCTGATCCTTTCAAGAGTGGTAGAGACTTTTCCTGTCACCCACTGCATGGACAGTGAGGGCTAATAAACTGACCACAAAGCATTAGTGCCTATGACTCGACCCACGTCATGCTGTGGCTTTTTAATTCATGTAATGAATTCCTTCTTGGAATTATCAAGGAGACCATGTTTAGTGCTACAACCAGCCACAATCAGAAGCAACTGCTTAAGCACTTCTAAATAACTTCTAAAAACATTGGACAGGGATTTAATCAACATGATAACACGATATTTATTGATTTAACCAACCTGGTAACACCATACTTATTGATTAATTTCTTTGCATTACACTTATTTTGTAATCTGAAGGATCTCAATATGACAAACTCATGCTTAGGACACAAAGAGAGTCCATTTCCAGTAGGAGAGTGCTGTTGTGTTCCCAGCTGAAGGAGAATCTCCACCTGCAGTTGTTGGGAGAGGTCAGCCTCTCTTCAAGTAACAGAAGAGTAAGGGCTGAGCTTGGCTAATGCTTGGAGTACTCCATCACTCTGGAGTAAATCACAAGTATGTGTGGATTGAACATTTTGACAGTTATGTTCTGTGTACTTGGAATTTAATGTGTTTATTATGATTCCCAAAAGAGTTTCTGAGTAGCACTAACAGCTAGCTAATCATTTAACCAAAAGAATATCTGAGAAGTACCAAGATTTAATCAGTTGGCAAAAATTGATTATTTAAATTCACTGAGAGATTCCACAGTAAAAGTTTGATAACCTCCTTGCAGAATGTCACACCCCCGAAAACCAATCCCATCAAGTACAGTTCTCTCTACACTATTGTAATAGATCAGATTGCATCTAGGTTTCTTGTCATTTTCTTGAACACATATTCTAAGGAACTCCAAACAGTATTCCAATCTTGCTCCTCATATTCTCAGAACCCTTCAGTGAAGCAGACACAGGCCCAGTTGAATCCTTTTATTCTGACAGATGGTGTAAGGAGCAAGAGTGAGTCAGCAGGCCATGGGGAACAGAGGAACCCAGAGATGGACTGACTGGTCCTTAATCTAACGCTGTTTTCTTCCTCTGGCCAGCTCTCTCCTGTCTCTACAAGGTCAGCCACAGATCCTAGCATCAAGCTATGTCTTAGGAGAAGGCACCTAAATATCTGGGGGTATAAAAGAAATGCAGCTGTGTATAGAAGGTATCCCATGTACAAGGCATTGTGCTAAGCAGCAGTGTACAGACACAAGGTGAGTCAGTCCTTGCTGTCCACTGCCTTCTGTTAGAAACATGGGGCAAATCTTCTGTAAAAAGTCCTGGAGGATGAAAAAGGTAGCCCTGGAGCATGTGATGAATAGCTGAAAATTCCAAATGCTGACGCTCACAGAGGAAGGCTTGGATTGCTACAACTTTGACCTTTTGTTTTTTGTTTCTTTTTTAAATCACAAGTGAGAGTTTGCATAAGATTTATATGTGCATTGAATCAATAAGTTGAAATTGAATTTATATATAGCATATATCTCTAGACAGGTACTCAGACACTGAGAACTCTTTTTATCTATGGTCATTATTAAACTGACTAAGTATTCTTACAACTGAAGACAGAGTTGACACCTATGTTTGTAGTACAATATATTTATATTGTGATATTTATAGAACCATTGGTAACTGCCTGAATTGCATGTCTCATACCAGATAGTAAGTACAATATATTTATATTGTGATATTTAAGAACCATTGGTAACTGCCTGAATTGCATGTATCATACCAGATAGTAAGTTATTTTTAGTTCTAATTTAAAATTGACGAGTATCCACAGCGATAGTAAGAGTAGGAAATTGCACAGAACGACTATAAGCACTATCTAATAATTCCTAGCTTAAGTTCCCTTTGGCCACCAGGGAGATCTTGTGGCCCTAGTGGCAAGGAGTAGTGCTGCCAACTCAAAGATATGCAGTCCATATCCACTCCATGAGAGAAAAATGGACAATCTCCTGTGCAAACTGCAGCCCCTGAAAACCCACTATGAGTTGGTTCTGACTTAAATAGCGCATAGCAACAACTAAGTTTATTTTGGAAAGAAGTAGGTTATGAATACTGAAATAAACATGTTTGTTTCTTTATGGTTTCCAAGCCAACCTTCTATCTTCATGTAAAGCTTCATTAAGTTTATGCCAGCCATTATGCCACCCTTTCCCCCTGAGATCTTCTGCCATCACCTTCTGATGTTTAAATATTCCCATTTACAGATTAAGCTTCCAGACCCTGTGCAGAGTCTTTCTCTTCATCCCTGTTCCTATCATCAACCTGAAGGCTCGATCATACCAAAGAAATCCCCAGTCAATATTCACATGTCCTTGACCTCAGCAGACCACAACATCCCTCTCAGCCCACCCAGGACCTCTCTCAGCACTCCCACCATAATGAATAGCTCCTATCTGAAATCATGAATTCAAACAACCCATGCAGACTACTACCACTTTCCATCCCTGGATACCTCCCTTCGGGGTCCCCTCCAACTCCAAAGGATAAAACACAAGAGGAGTCAGAAGTTCATGGATATAAGCCCTTTATTATTGCTTTTGTTTTTTTAGGTGGGGTGTTTTTTTGTTTTTTGTTTTTTGTTTTTTTAGGTAGTAAGAAGTATATCTTCAGATCTCAGCATTTTGGGGGCTGAGCAGAGCTGCAGCAACTCCAGTGGAACCTGGACTTCATCACCTCTGCTTGGATCCTGTGTGTCTTCAGCTAAGTCTTATTTAGCTTTTCCCGAAGGTGATGGAGCTGTGTGTTGCTGTGTATTGTTTGCATCAGGTGTTTTGGGCTGATGAAGTCTTCATGGTTGGTTGCAGCCTTGTTACCAGTCAGCTGTAGGATGTTAGCAGTCAAGTACACCATAATACTCACCAGCAAAATGGGTGAGGGTCACTGAAGAAAGTAGCTCAGCTCGTGTGAAGCAGGAGCGAGGAGTCTGCCTGCACTTGCTGAGGCAATGCTCACTTTTTATCTTATGAATTATGTTGGCTGCAATCAGGTCAAGCTTCACCACCGTACTGGCCAGGGCTGATCAGAACCCCAGAACTCATCCCTGCCCACACATATGAATGATGCATAAACTTTGAGACATCACTGATGTCCTTCTCTAACCCTTATTGGGCCTAGGCCTAGGAATGTCCCTGCTAAGGACTCTGGTGCCTGAACCTTCATTTTGTGCAGGGTCTGATGCTCTACTTTACTTCACATCGTGGCAGACCTGGGAGGAATGGTGCTGTTGCTTCCATGGGGGCTTTGCCCTGTCCAGTGGCCCCTCTCAGAGGCCGAGATCACTCCCCTTATGCCCCATGGTGTTTGCTTTGAATATCTGCCTCTAGCCATATGCTGTCATCCTATTTAAAAACCTTTGTATGTCACTGAGAGTGCAGAATGTAAATTCTCTCTGGAGGCTCATTTGTCTATAGACAAGTTCACTTAGAGGTCTGGAGGTCCACTTGTTTCCTTTTTCACATCCTAATAAAGTAAGTTTTTACTTTATTTCTTTATAATTTTAATATTCCTGGTCAGTATTCCTATAGTTACAGATTTTATTTTGAACTGATTGTAATAACTGCTATTTCCCTTATGACTTAGTCAAAGTGCATGTCTTCAGTTCACTCTCATAACAAAATCCAAAGCCTTGATGGCCCTTTAAAAATTCCATTTTCTACTGATTTTATCTTTCTGCCTTGCTTTTCATTCATTCACATGAATGTAGACCTCAATGACAGGGAATTTGGGGTCTTGTGTTTATATTTTGTTTAAGAGAAATACATACAACACAGAATTAATCATCTCAGTGGAACTTTTATTATGTTGACAATGTTGTAATTATCTCACTGTTGGCTACTGGAATATTTTCATCATTCCTAAAAGAAACTCTGTTCCCCCTTTTCCTCTCTATACTATCTTCAGGGAAACATTGGTTTATTTTGTCTATATATCTTACATTAGGAAACTTTATATAAATGTGATAATATATGAACTTCGGTTTTGCCTTCCTCCAATTAGCATACTATTTTCAAGTTCAATTTGTACTGTAGCATGTATCAGAATTTTATTAATTGTTATGGCTCAATAATATTCCAGTGTATACCCTTTATAAAATGCATGCATCCATTTATAGTAATTTGTGTTATATCCACTGTGCTGTGCAGAAATTATAATTTGCTTCATAATAATGTCAGTAGTAGTACACTGAGTGGTATTCAATTACTATACTGAGTAGTAGTACTACTAAAGGAAACTAACATTTCTGCTTTATTCATTAGAAAGTTAACATTATAAATGGTAACTTGTAAAAGAAGACTCTAAGCTAAAGGGCAAAGTAGAAGCGGTCCTGAAATCAAGAGCCATCATGGCTGGGGATGTGCACAAAGTGGTGTGCACAAATCTTGGAAACCTCAGAGGTAATCACTGAACAGGCAGCTCATCAGTGCAGGGGGTGAGTATGGATTCTTCTGGGGAACCTGGGGGTTCACATGCCTGACAGTGTGGTGCAGAACTGCTCCTGAGTTCAGCCTGCTCTTCTGCAGAGGCAGGAGGATTTTCATTAAACTCAGGCAGTAAGGAACGCCTAACTCTGGATGGAGGGCTGCACAAAACTCTCCCACCAAGGTGCCCAGGAGAGAAGGAAGAGGAATTCTGGTCAGAAAGCCCATCAGTGGAAGAGGAGGGACTGGGACCAAGAGATCTGAGAGGGGATGAGGAGAGGCTCCCATCAGATTCCTTGGAGAAAAGAAAGGAATATGCTCCAGAAGACGATGAGGCGTTCTTGCAGATGGGACTTTCAGAAAAGGGGACAAGGCACAGCACAGCACGATCAGGAGAGCTTGAAGAACGCTGCATGACAATCCTCCCTAAGCTGGTACGTGCTGCTAAAGCAGGGCGCCGGCGAGTTGACCAGGGAGGATCAGCAGGGCCCCTGCGCAGTGCTGGCTGACTCGGTGTGGGACGTCCAAGGCTTGGCACTCTGCCACTAGGAGTGCTTGTTCCCAAGCCTTGACTGCTTCGATCATAGCTAGATCCAGACTGGAGACTGAAGCTAGCAAGGTCTGCAGTGCTTGCTCTGCTGTTGGAAGTGCAGCCTGGTGGTGTTGCCAGACTTCGGAGGGCAGGGCCCGGCTGGGCCACAGGAGGTGGAGCAGGCTCCTTGTCCCAGTTTCCCTCTGGGTTCTTGTTCTGGATGCCACGTCCCCCGTCCGGACCGACGGCTCTTGTCGGGATGACCTTACTGTCTGAAGACCAGAATGGAGCATCTAGGTCCCTTGTATCCACCATACATGTAAGGTCCATGGGAGCAGTCAGGCCACCTCCAAGGTCAGAAGCACTGGTCACTTGCACGAGACTTAGAGACTGTGCCCCAGGATTCTCCACAGCGACAGAAACGGTGGCGTCTGCAGGGGACCAGAGCTCCATGCGGCTGGCCTGAGAGTCCAATGGTGACGGGTCGCTCAGTGCTGAGGGAAACTGGGCAACAGATTCTCCGCTGCAGGTCCCTCTAGCATCGTCGCTGTTCGCTGAGGTGACCACATTCTTGGCCTCTCCTGGAACTTCCCTCTCCATGGATTCAAAGAGCTGCTGCTTCTGCTCCTTTTTCTGAGGGTGCCTGAGTAGCCATGACACCAACAGGAAGGAGCACCGCCACCAACTGCCAAGAGTGGAATAAAGAAGCAGAACGTGGAGGGCGTCGCTGGGCGTCGCTTGTGCTTGGCTCCTGATGTGCCACGTGCCTTCTCATTTACGCAGAGTCCACCTGGTGAGAAACCGGCGGATGTGCAGCTTCTACTGGACTGTACCCCAGCCGTGTAGACGGCGAAATGCATTGATGGAGAGTGGTTTCTGGCTCAGTGCTGTCCTGTAGGACAGAGTAGAACTGTCTCATAAAAGAAAGCTGACTGTCACAATTTGCTCAAGGCTGGTGACTCGAAGTAATTGACATTTTGTATAACCGTTGAATACCTAACCACTGTACCACTAGGACTCCTTAAATCACATACAGAGCTTCTAAAACTGTGAATACATGTGTGTTGGGGTGAGAGGCCTTATATTTTTTAACCATAGAAAACCCAAACATCTTGCCATTGAGTGGAGCCCTCTGTTTTTGAGGCCATAAATCATCAAGGTAGGAGACTTTCTCCCACGTAGCAGCTGTGAACTATAGCAAGAGAGCTCCTCTCTTTTGCATTAGGATTATACATATTGAAAAAAGAGCAAATTGTATTACTGAAGTGTTCCATTGCTAAATGAACTTGTTGAACTCTTGGGAAACAAACTTTTATCAAGCCTTTTCTTTTAAAAAACCTATTATCTAAAATAAAAGACATTTACGATTATGTCTACTTATGCTTTATTGACTATGCAAAGACTGTGGATCATAACAAGTTATGGTTAATATAAAGAAAAATGGGAATCCCAGAGCACTTAATTGTGGTCATGCAAAGCCTACGACTAGGCTGGGAGGCTGTTGTCTGAACAGAGCAAGGGAACAAACACTATATGGTTTAAAATTAAGAAGAGTGTGCACCAGGGTTGTATTCTGTCTCCACACCTATTCAATCTGTATGCTGAACAAATTATTTGAGAAGACTGACTCTATGAAGAGGAATGTTGCATCAGGATTGAAGGGAGATTTCCCAATACCTTCATTATACAAATGACACAATCTTGCTTGCTGAAAGTGAAGAGGACATGAAGTACTTGCTGCAGAAGATAAAAAAATACATTAAATATTGATTGCATCTCAATGTCAAGAAAATAAAGATTCTTACTACTGGAATTGATAGGTAAGATCATGATAGATGAAGAAAAGAATGAAACTATCAGCAACTTCATTTTACTTTGATCTACAATTAACACTCTTGGCATTAGCAGTCAGGAAATCAGGAAACATATTGCATTGGGAAGTCTGCAGTTAGGGACTTCTGCAAGTTTTTGAGGAGTAATGATATCAATTTGGGAATCAAGGTGTATCTGAATCAAGGTATGGTCTTTGCAATCACTTCCTATGCATCTGAGAGATGGACAATGAATAAGGATGACAGATGTATATTTTATGACATTAAGCTATGATGTTGGAGAAGAGTACTGAGCATCCCATAGACGTCCAAAAGAGCAAACAAGTATGTCTTGGAAAGGGTACAGCGAGTGTGCTCTTTGGAAGCAAAGATGATGAAGCTTCACCTTACATACTTTGAGCATATTTCTAGGAGGAGCTAGTTCTTGAAGAAAGACATAATGCTTGGGAAGGTAGAGAGCCAGTGAAGGAGAGGAAGACCCTTGACTAGGTGGATTTACTCAGTGACTACTACAATAGGCTCTAATGTTTCAAGAAGTGTGAGGGTGGCACAGGATAGGACAGGGATTCATGGGAAAAGAAATTGCAACTTGGAGAGGATTAATTAGTACAATACCATGCTTATCTTTCAAATTGGATTTCAAGATAAAAGCATAGCTGATACTAAGGAAGTGATGATAACATAGTCTATAAGGAGTTGTGTTGCTAACCCAAAGGCAGCACCACCTTAGAGGTTTGAATTCAGCAGCTGTTCCATAAGAGACAGATCTGCCATTTCCTCCCATGCAGTTTGCAGCCTCCAAAGACCTAAGTGTCAGCTCCAACTAAATAATTGTTGTTGTTGATTGCCTTCGAGCCAGGCACTACTCATAGCAACCCTATGAACAAAAGGCTTGAAGTCCTTCTACAACTATCAACATTTATCAAAGTTCATAGAGTTTCCAGAGGCATGTTATTTAAAAAGTGGATGCCACTTCTGCTCTCAAAACTAAATAATAATGAAGAAAAATACTAAATACTCTTCCATCATGAGGAGCTCTGGCAGTGAAGGCTGGTTGTGTGAACATGGGGAAAAGATGTAGCAATCCTCTTTTAGAATTCTTTCATAAAAATATGGTATTAGTTGTCATGCACTGTTGAGTCAGAACTGACTCACACATGACCCTTCAGCAGATTTTCAAAGGCAGTACATCACATGACAGGAGGTGGCCCTTTTTTCTTCCATAGAGCAACTGGTAGATTGGAACAGTGTAGGTTGACAGCTCAACTCCTTAGTTCCAAGCTACCAGTCTTGGAAATCGTGTAGGGCTCTATTCTTTCTATAGGGTTACTATGAGTTGGAATAAATTTGAAGGTACTGGGTCTTTTTTTAAAATTTTGTTTGTTCTTTTGTGCTTCTCCCCTCTCCCCTTGTCTCTCTGTTGGAATAAGTAAATTTACCATGTGTAGTGTTAAAAGGAAAAGGGGATAAAACTAGATGACAGTGATCAACAGTGATGCACCAGGAAGCCATGTACAAGAATACTCATTGACATATTCTTTGTAATTACAACAAACATAAAGTAAACTATCTACATGCTTATCAACAATAAAATGTATAACAAAATTGTGGTACAACCAAATCATATGCAGCAATGAAAAGGAATGAAATATGCCTACATGGAAGAGAAGAGATACTTTCACAGATAAATTTTGATAGAAAGAAGCAGGAATAAAGAACCTATCTAGTTCTACCCCATTCAATTTCAGACTAAATTAAATAGTTGATTTTACATTCATAAATCATTATAAAAAAACAAAAGCAAGGTCATTCAAGTTTCAGTGATTATCTTTAATGGAAAGAGAAGATATTCTAAGAAATGCACTCTTAAGGGACAGCTAATATATTGATCATGTTCTATTTTTTACTTTGTGCTTACATTACCTTTTACTTTAAAATTCATCTTTGATCTATATGTATGTGCACTGTTTCTGTGAATACTGTTGTTGTGATATACTGTTGCATTGACTCCAGCTTACAGCAACCTTATGTACAACAAATAAAAACTTGGCTGATCCTGCAACATCCTCACAAATGTCTGCCATGTTGCATTCACTGCATATTTTTGAGTGTCTGTGTTGTCTTAAGCCCACTGTTAACTATTACCTTGCCAATCCATCTTGTTGTGGATTGTCTTCTGCTTTGTTGACCTTCTATTTTTCAGAGCATGATGTCATTCTTCAAGCACTGTCCCCTCCTGAAAATATACCAAAGTGTGAGACTAAATCTCACAGTCTTTGCTTCCAAGGAGCACTCTACATACAACTTTTAAAAGGTGGATTTGTTTGTTCTCTTGGAGTTCTGTATAATATTCTCTATTCCTCGACAGCACTACAATTCAAAGGAACCAATTATTCTGCCTTTCTTATTATTGTCCTACCTTTAAAAGAATATGCAGCAACTGAAAAGACCACGGCTTGGGTGGGGTGCACCTTGGTCTTCCATCAGATATCCTTGCTTTTTAGTACTTTAAAGTGATTGAAAATGCCTTAATTTTAAGATTATCTCAGATATTTCAAGCTTGTAAAAAAATATTTTATTTTCTATTTTTAAAATTTTATTTTATGTTTATTTGAAAAGAAAATTTATATACATTGTGTCTCATTCATACATACTCTGTTTCACACATTTCTTCATTTACATTGTGTTTCATACCGTCTTCCTCATACATTGTGTTTCATAAAATTATTCCCCATTGATATATGCCCACTCAAAAAAATATTACCCCATCTTTTCTGGTTCCACTGGATTTTCCCTAATTTTACACCCCTCCCTCCACCCACCAAATTCTGTGACCTTGTCATTGCCCCCTCACCTTCAGCCTCTCTGTCCCTTCCCCCTTTGGACTTTTATACACATCTTACAAGTAATCCTTCTATTTTTACAGTAACGGTTTTATTTGAAATTATTCAGTTCATTATTGTAAACACAAAGCAAAATTTAATATTAATTACATAATACTTCATTAATAATTCAAAGCTATTTTGATAATAAAATGTTGATTTTTTTAAGTGGAATCTTCAAGAGATACTTGGCATTCCTAGACACACTAAAATATACCTAGCATTATCTTTGAAGATATGGGTCCTAATTTTTAATGATTTTTTTTTAGATGATGGATTGTTGTATGCTGTCAAGTCAGAACTGACCCATAGCTGACACTCCAGTGGGTTCTCAGAGGCAATAAATCGCACAGGAGGAGATTGTCTATTCTCCAGTGGAGGAGCTTGTTGATTCAAATTGCATGCCTTTCAGATTGCAGTAGTTTCTTAGCACCAGAGCTTTCCAGCTAATATTTTCATTATTGTCATATTTCTGCTAGTGTTACTATTTTCTCTTTGTTCCTTACAAAGATGCATTTTATCTCAAACTTGATATCAGATTACTAACTAGAAAGTCATCCACAAGCAATCACTTGAGCAGCCAAAAAGACATTGTTAAGCTGATATGCTAATAGGGAAATTAATTTGGTGAGCAAGTCAAATAACTATAATGCATACTGAGTAATCTGAAAGTTAGCTGATGTCCATGTCACTTATACTTGAATTCGTTGCCCTACTGCTTCTGGCTGGGGCTCAGTCTACTGATGTTGTTACTGTAAAGCTTCTCAATTTATCTCTAAGATGAGGAACAGAGGACTTGTGGAGCCTTTTTTATTTTCAAGGCACATCTTTCCTCCTACATGACATGTGGTCTTAAAAAGAGCTGCTCTGTGAGGTAATATCTTGT